CCATAAATTTGTAAAAAATAAGAACGAAAAAATATCGTAAATTGCATAACAAGTTAAATACAAAAATATTTCATATCTGTTCAATGTGAATTATTAGGCAACGATCATCTTACATGTGCTACAGGTCAAGGTCAAGGGTGAAATATCAGAAATATGCCACAGTACCATATTAATCCATGGCACAAAAGCTCATTGTCGTATTGTAATTGAAAATTATTGTACCAGGATATAAAAACAAAAATTATGGTTTGTTTGTTGAAAAGTGAGCAAAGAAAAACATTGATATGGTATGTTATCTGAGAAATTCCGTTCTTGAGAAAATATCAGATATTATATTTTCGTGTTCGGGGATTGTCAGTGTTTTAAGAGAATTATTGACATGTAATGTACTATAATTGATGAGTGACTGAGATAGGGACATCTCATGATATTCTTATAGAGGGGGTGATTCTATTGGTGGTAGTGGAAGGGAGTCCCCATTACCTGTAAATCGCTTTGAGTGGAGTGTCCAGAAAAGCGCTATATAAGTGTAAGCAATTATTATTTGTAAATGTGTGTGTAAATGTTTTCAAACAAATATTCAGAAGAAGTAAGTATTTGATACCTTGTTTATGAAGTAGTGTGGTTTTATTCTTAGACCTGTGGAGTTCATATAGGCTTGATATGACTGCATTTCAGTAGTGCTTTGCCGTCTGCTGATCGGCTAGTTTGCAGTTAACTTTACTAAATCTCTGTTTTACTGATCACTGGCAAAACCTGCAGTGGGCTGTGGAAAAAGTCTTGGTTTGCTTGGACATCTTGGCTGTACGGAGAAAGGAGGTTTTGGAGCCAGCAGAAACAGGTTCTCCAATTTTTAAAAGCTTTATATCCACCACTATGTTTAATAAGCGTTTAAATAACTGGGGAATGTACATCATCCAACCAAAAGCTGCTATGGAGTTTCTGGACTTTGTTTGAAAGACATGAGTCATTATGGTCAAGCCTATGCTGACTCACTGCACCTTAAACCCCCCTGCTTTGATGGTAAAAAAAAAAATGATTGGCCTGTGTTTTGCAAATCTTACTAAAGGTCTTAGGCAGTTGCGTAAGCATTCATGGACTGTTTTAACAACTGGTAAGTGTTATTAGGGGAGCTCTTGATCTCAAGAATTTGGCTAGAAATTGGGAATTGTTCTAGGTTGCTATCTTCTGTATCTTTTGTACTTTTAAAATGCATTATGACCCCAGTATTTCAAATGAAGGCTAACCAACATTGCTTCAACATCAGCACCAACTATTCAATACTTATTATTGTACACATATTTTCCTACCTGACTTTAATTCTTTTAACTTACTTAATTTGTCAAGTATATGTCCAGTTCCAAGTACCTTTGCATTTTGCACTGTTGAAAAATAACTGACATTGCCACTCCTTTAATATCACCTGTAAATTTTAAAGGTTTACTAAGTGTAGCAAAGCCTAGTAACTGATATCACTTTAAAAGACCAATCTATCTCCATACCACAGACTGGAATTGGATTTTAGATCCTTTTAGTATGTTATTGTTTTATTTTGCACAAGAAACTTCTTAATTCGTGGGATTGTATTACCCTGTGTTCCTAAAGCTTTCAGACTATGTATATATGCCTCTTTCATCAAAAGCTTTTTTGATAGAATTTGTTAGTTCTTAGGATCTTTTCTGTTCTCCTTTGCTGTTTTAGGTGGACTGTTTTTGTATTTTGCAAGTGGTTGACACATTTGTAAAACCACTTTTTGTGATTGGGATAAGAAATCAACCCTTTTTGTGATCTATTCAGTGTTGAATATGTGCATATTCCTGTGTATTAGATGTGCACCTACCTAGTTTACATTTCCTGAAAGTAACATATTAGCCTCTGATTGCATAATATATATGAAATATGCATGACTTATGGTTGGATTGCATGTTTATGGTACAGTTTTGAGTATATACCAAACATGTGGCAGAAACAACACTGTAATTTCTCAGAAACTTAACATTGCATAAAAGTTAAATAGAAAAATATTTCATATCTGTGCTGGTTGATTATTTAAAAGGGAATCTGCTTACATTTGTATTGTTATAGATAAAGGATGTTGACAAGAATCAAATTATGGTACAGTAGCAAATAAGTCTGTTGCAGAAATACAAGGACATCATTTTGTTGTATAGTGGTTGCTTAACACCTTGCAAAAAACATGATAGCAAAGGGAAATCTTAATGTTGCACGTTTAGTGAGAAATTGGTGTCATTATAACCCCAAGCTTCTCTCCCTGTTTGTGTGCCTGGCTGTCTCATGGAAAGCAAGCCGGGGTATGTGAAAAGACAAATTCCTAATGCAAGAAATTGTACATGGCAAATAAAGTGATCTTATCTTAATAGCTTTGGAGAAATTAGATCATCATAAAACCATCTGGTCATCCATGTTCCTGTAAGAATTAAATATTCTTCCTACTTTCATATTTTAATTGTTAAATGCACTAAACATTAAATCTTACTTTTTACAATAACTCATTTAACTTTACAGAAAAACATTATCCAGTCATAATTGTATCCTATTGTTTAATGAAAGGGCTTTCATATCAGCGTTTGAAATATGGCTGAAAAAGCCTGAGGACAGCTGAAGTAAGAGAGAGAGTGCTGTTTTGGTTGGAAAACCTGGGAGCAGTGCGTGTGAGAGTGTAAGAGAGAGTGCTGATTTTAATGGGAAAACTGAGCAGTGCCACAGCGATGATGAGGGTGAAAGGTTCAGTAGATGATGTTGACCCTCAGGGATTCTCCAGTTTTCTGACATTTTGCATTACGTCAAGATCAGAGCAAAAATAACACAAGGTGAAGAACCCAGAGCTTCTGTGAAGAACATTTTCTATTGCTTTCATAACATAGTCATTGTTACAGTCACAGACCTTTGAGAGTTAATCTTTGGTGTTTCTCTCGATCAGTTTAATTTTAAGTTATGATTTTTCTATATAAGGAAACTAATACATTTTATATGGAAGTACATCTGCTGCTGTCTCGATCATTCTCTGGTTTGACTTGAAGCATAAATGCAGCTTTGATTTGTATTTGATACATGCCCGTCAGATGTATGAAATGCGAGTACAACATGCATTAACTTGAATTTCATAGAGTTGAATACAGAGTTTAGATTCAGGAGAATCTAAATGAAGCAATTATACAGCTTATATGTTGTCTTCAGTCCACTTCATGCACATTGAGGATCATGGCCATACCTAACATAATTCAAACTATTTGTATAGGTAAGCTGTGGTGTTCATTCTTGAACTGCTATTCATACTTATAAATTAACCCAGGTACTCTTTTTAACAAAATTAACATAAACAAGTACAGCTCAATTAAGTATAAAATAATGTTATATGCGCAGAAAGTAATGTTAAGTTCTCATGTCAGCATGGTTTCTATTGTACGGAATACTTACTGTTCAGATGTAAGGAATGGCTGAACCTGTGAAAAAGTAATTATCAGCAACACTTAGGATGGCTGTGTAGTTTTATGAACTTTGAAAGTGTTAATATTAATTAGCTTTGATTGTTTCATCAATGTTAGAATTAAACGGCACATATATAAATCAAAGTTATAGACCTTGTTTGTTTATTCCCGATTCACTGGTCACAGCTAGATGTGAAGTGCTGATGAGCCCTAATGAGGGTTTGAAAGCAAGCTGTAGCTATCATTGTCTTTTTTATTTGTACTGTAAATTGAAATTACAAGTCCGTTGACCGTACTAGAGCTAATTATCATTCATTTTTCTGAAACTAATGATTGTGTTCTTGTGGAACACACCAGAACTCCGAAGAGTATCCTTTTTTGACAGAACATGGTAAAATTTGTTGACCAATTTCTACATTTCTCACAAACTCCTGTAACATACTAGTAAGAGGAGATCTATTGCCTTTGCCAAAAATTTTTTTTACTGCTGAGGGTGGAAACACTCCCTTGCGTAATACTCTTTGGTGAGTGTGGATATGTATATTGTCTATGCAAATATAATATGACTTTGGCCTTCAAGAGGAATTAAGGATTTTCTTCCAATAGCCACATATCTGCAGTCATTTTTTCTGCTATCGATGTTTGTGCATCTGTATGTTGAATAAAAAAAACTAATTAAGTTTAACAGTGATCTGTTATACTAATCAAGTTAATACTGTTAAGTTGGTGCAACGTTTTTTGAAGTTTGTGTTGTCAAAATAATAATTTAAAGATTTACTCTGTTAAGAATGCGTACCTACTGGTTCTAGTAAATGCTGGAGGGTTTGTTATAATCCAGAGCTAACGCAAAAACCGAACTGAGTAAATCACTTTATTGAAAAAAGAGGTTTGGTATAAAATTTCCTATTACCAGAAAAATCACTGTTTTATATTGAGATGTTAGTTTAATATGGAAGCCATTTAAAAAACGCAGGAGATAAGTGTAGCTGGTAACTGCATTGAGGCATCCTTAGCTGTGCAGGTAGTGATCACAAGGAGAATGTGGAAAGGGATGTCTAGTGTCAAAGGTCCTGTCCACTTCTATAATGGAAAGATAAAATGCACCTGAAACAAAAAGACGTGTCCTGTGGTCATTATATTTAGATTTTTTCCAGGGCTCTACAACTGTCTTTTGGCTTTAGGTATTATAAATCCTGAAGGTCATAAACGTCAAATTTATTTTAGATTTATCTAAAAAGAATCTTATTCTAAATGATTTGATTTAATTGAGAATTTCTGAATGAATTGGATACTGCAAGAAGTAATAGTACTGCACCGTCTTTCAAGTTTTAGAGGTTTTTAAATATTACAATTATTGTATTTTATTGGCACTTCAACAAACATTAAATGCTGAAACAAAAATAATGAATAATTGTCTGCAAAATTCACAGGTTTAGGAGTTTGTTTTAGGGGTATGTTGGTGTTTGAGGCATGCATTGATTTTTAGTCATAGTATGCAATTGAAGTTTACATATATTTCTCCTAAATAACAAATTTCCTTTTCTCTTGCAGGGGCTGGTGAGTCAGGGAAAAGCACGATCGTGAAACAGATGAAGTAAGTTTGCTTTGCTGAGGAATTGGAGAGCTGTACTGTGGAATGTGGCCACTTGTTTGTTTGATTTAACCTATTTTATGTATTTTTTTTTTAGAATTATCCATGAAGCTGGCTATTCAGAAGAGGAATGTAAACAGTACAAAGCTGTTGTTTACAGCAACACCATTCAATCTATAATTGCTATCATCAGGGCAATGGGAAGATTGAAGATAGACTTTGGTGATTCAGCGAGAGCAGTATGTATTTCTTCATATAAAAAGAGTACTGTGAGCACAAAGGGCGTAATGTTAGAAATGAAAATGATTGATTTGTGGTAAAATACAAGATGAAGAATAGTAATATATTCAACATTTAACAACCCCACTATGGTCAATTAGAACATACTGTATAAGATTACAATTTAGAGGAAGTCACTTCTCTTCCCATCAAGCTCTTAGTGT